AGCAGCTGAACAGATGTACCTAGTAAATTGGATAGTCAGTCTTTATCTTCCTGTTTCTCTCTCTGTTGCCTGTCAACAATAAAAAATAAAAGACTAAAGCAACTACAAAAAAATAATAAAATAAAAATGCTGCTATAACATTTTAAATACTCGACTGGAATTATATATATTTTAAAATTTATCTAGTAAAATACATTAGTTTATATGACTGAGAGTCTCATAAACTTTAAGAATGACAGTCCCCCTCCCTCCCTTCTTGAGCTGTCATGGACACAGGAAATGCGAAGAGAGAAAAACTTCTATTGGAAACTTTATTCTCTGTAGTATTGCAGGTAACATGTATTTGTCATGACAGAGTCCATAAAATGCTGATTTGTATGAATTACAGTTGTTCGTTGTGCCAAATGAAAACACAGATTTGCTAACTTGTTACACAACACATAATGAGAACAGTGAATAAAAAAATAAATACAAGATTAGTCAAACTTATTAAGATTCTATAGTATACATTTTTTTTCTGGTGTATGGATCATGTTAAAGTGTCCTCAGCCTCCTCTCAGACGGAAAAACATGTAGATGGTGCTGTGGTTTCTGATGTTGTAGTCCTCCAGTTTGCCATCCTGCATCTCCCGGCCTTGGTGAATGAGCCTCTGCTGGCTCGCTGGCACCCCCTCTCTTTTCTCGACTCTGTTCTTGAAGTTGCTCACAGTCTCGTCGAGCCTGATGTCGTAGGTGCTGGAGTGTCCCTTTTCATTTCTGAGGAACACCTGGATGGGAGCAGGCGGAGGAGGCTCGGTGACCAGCAGGGACACCTGGGAGCCGTGCTGTAAGCCGTAGTAGCTGATGGGTTTGGAGTCATCGTTGAGAGGGGTCTTCTGGCCGTTTATGAAAACCAGTTTCTGCGTCTGAGGGTTGACTTCCAGTTTCTTGTAGATTTTTATTTTCAGAGAGCCAACTGTGTCCTGTGGGTTCACGGTCAGAGTGTGGGACTCACCCAGCATGTTAATAGTTATATCCATGTTGGTTGTAGTCTGAAAGAATTCAAAATAGTCCATTAGAAAACACACACACTGGGGAAAAATGACTTTTCAGTTCTTTATCAGCTTCCTACCTTGTGATGACTTTTTCACTTCAAGTCTTCAAACGTGGAAACGTAAATGATGCTCGAGCAGCAGCAGCTAAGTTGAAGTGCTCAGCCTTTATATACACTCTGCCTCAGCTGATCCACACCCTCACACTCACCTAAGGTTCGTTTTCCCTCTCTGCCATAACAACTTTCAGTTTCTATTGTCTAAGCATGACTTGGCTCTACTGTGTGTGTGTGTGTGTATGTGTCAGTGCACATATACAGTCAGAAGTTTTCTCCAGTATTGAAATAATCCGCAACACATCCAGTAGAATAAAGCGAAAAGGAAATGTTCATAAATAGTTTGCATATCTTTGTGTTCAAAATTAAACAGAATCATACTTTATTTGATTCCGAGTTACCTAAAGAGAGATCTGAAAAAAATCGGGATTTCCATATTTCTTAACCTAACACGCCCTTTGTAGGTTGGTCGTAAACACGTGTTTTGTTTTGTTTTGTTTATAAAGAAGGATAGTCTCTGATCAAAATACCAAAAGCACCATAGCACTGCGTGATGTTTGGACACTAGAAACCGAAAGTTATTACATCAGAGTTCAAAAACGAATCTTAAGTGAGTGGGCGGGCGCTGATCAGCTGTTGTGTGAGCATCATTGTTTACCTAAAGACTTCAAATTTCCGAAGTTTGTTTTGCCTCGATAAGCCATCGCAAGGTAGGAAGCTGGGCGAGCCTGCGAGAAATAACAGAAAACTCTTTTTTTCGGGTGTAATTTAAAGAACTATTTTTTTTTTATTCTTTCAGACTACAGTCAAAATGGATATAACTATCACTATGGTGGGTGGGTCCCACACCGTGAGGGTGAACCCACAGGACACAGTTGGCTCTCTGAAAATAAAAATCCAGAGCATGCTGGGAGTCGACCCTCATCCCCCACTTAGTGGATAAACCTGTTTGGTCAGGTATCAAGGGGTTGTTTTGATCAACCTCCAAACGATCATTTGACGAGCATATGACGCATATGGGGGTTTCCAAAACAGCGCCCCTACAGGTGGCAGGACGCAACTCCACGTGATATCGTCAGATGGCAAATAATATAATTCCATATTTAAAATGTTATAGCAGCATTTTTTTGTAGTTGCTTTAGTCTTTTATTTTTTATTGTTGACAGGCAACAGAGAGAGAAACAGGAAGATAAAGACTGACTATCCAATTTACTAGGTACATCTGTTCAGCTGCTCGTAAACAAAAATATCTGAACTTCCGATCACAAGCTGCATATAGGTGCATTTAAATATGTAGGTAGGGCCAGTAACGCCTGCTGAAGTTGAAACCGAACATCAGAATGGGGAAGAAAGGTGATCTACGTTTGTTGCTGTTAGGTGGTACGCAGCCGAGGTGCAGGAGGTGTCAGTCCTGTCAGCTGAGAACAGGAAACTGATCATAGTTCACACACTGCGGTCAAGTGAGCCCTCACTTACGAAGTCGCAGTCAAGCTAGCCGCCCCGCCAGCCGCACCGAAAATGTGGTTGCACTACTCTTACGTATATTACGGTATGGGTGAAGACCGGCTTAGAAACGCAGTGTTTTGTGTCCTGACACTATTTTACTTCACAATCCACTCCCATTTTTAGTGTATCTCCACTTTCCCCCTGTGATCCACAGCCCAAATTACTGTATGATTCAGAGAAAATTAACAATAAAATTTACCCAATTTACTCAACTGTACTTTTAATGTCCTCATCTTTGAGCTCAGATTACAGGAAAATTGTAAGAGGTGACGCAGATATTTCACTGGATTCTGACTCTAGCTGTGCCACTCACCCTGTGATCACCCAAAATTACTGTACGTATTTTGAGAAAATTCATAGAAAATCTTCCCATTGCTTTACTGTACTCTACATATTAACATCTTTGAGCTCCGATTACAGGAAAACTGTAAGAGGTGACGCAGATATTTCACTGGATTCTGACTCTAGGCTGTCGCCACTCTTCACCCTGTGATCCACAGCCAAAATTACTGTACGGATTTTGAGAAAATTGATAGTAAACTTTGCACAATTTACTGTACTATACTCTATATATTCTCTTCTTTGAGCTCCGATTACAGGAAAACTGTAAGAGGTGACGCAGATATTTCACTGGATTCTGAATCTAGGCCATCTCCCACTCTTCACCCTGTGATCCACAGCAAAAATTACTGTACGGTTTTTGAGAAAATTGATAGTAAAATCTTCCCATTTTGCTTTACTGTACTCTACATATTGACATCTTTGAGCTCAGATTACAGGAAAACTGTAAGAGGTGACGCAGATATTCACTGGATTATGACTCTGGGTGACCCCCACTCTGCACCCTGTGATCCACAGCAAAAATTACTGTATGGATTTTGAGAAAATTCATAGCAAAATCTTCCCATTTTACTTTACTGTACTTTATATATTCATCTTTGAGCTCCGATTACAGGAAAACTGTAAGAGGTGACGCAGATATTTCACTGGATTCTGACTCTAGGCTGTCCCCACTCTGCACTGTGATCCACAGCAAAAATTACTGTACGGTTTTTGAGAAAATTGATAGTAAAATCTTCCCATTTTGCTTTACTGTACTCTACATATTGACATCTTTGAGCTCAGATTACAGGAAAACTGTAAGAGGTGACGCAGATATTTCACTGGATTCTGACTCTAGGCTGTCGCCACTCTTCACCCTGTGATCCACAGCCAAAATTACTGTACGGATTTTGAGAAAATTGATAGTAAACTTTGCACAATTTACTGTACTATACTCTATATATTCTCATCTTTGAGCTCCGATTACAGGAAAACTGTAAGAGGTGACGCAGATATTTCACTGGATTCTGAATCTAGGCCTCTCCACTCTTCACCCTGTGATCCACAGCAAAAATTACTGTACGGTTTTTGAGAAAATTGATAGTAAAATCTTCCCATTTTGCTTTACTGTACTCTACATATTGACATCTTTGAGCTCAGATTACAGGAAAACTGTAAGAGGTGACGCAGATATTTCACTGGATTCTGACTCTAGGCTGTCGCCACTCTTCACCCTGTGATCCACAGCAAAATTACTGTACGGATTTTGAGAAAATTGATAGTAAACTTTGCACAATTTACTCTACTGTACTCTTAATATTCTCATCTTTGAGCTCAGATTACAGGAAAACTATAAGAGGTGACGCAGATATTTCACTGGATTCTGACTCTAGGCTGTCGCCACTCTTCACCCTGTGATCCACAGCCAAAATTACTGTACGGATTTTGAGAAAATTGATATTAAACTTCACAATTTACTGCTACTGTACTCTACATATTCTCTTCTTTGAGCTCAGATTACAGGAAAACTGTAAGAGGTGACGCAGATATTTCACTGGATTCTTGACTCTGTGCCCCCACTCTTCACCCTGTGATCCACAGCCAAATTACTGTACTGTTTTTGAGAAAATTGATATTGAAATCTTCCCATTTTGCTTTACTGTACTCTACATATTCTCATCTTTGAGCTCAGATTACAGGAAAACTATAAGAGGTGACACAGATATCTCACTGGATTATGACTCTGGGTGACCCCCACTCTGCACCCTGTGATCCACAGCCAAAATTACTGTACGGATTTTGAGAAAATTGATAGTAAACTTTGCACAATTTACTGTACTATACTCTATATATTCTCATCTTTGAGCTCAGATTACAGGAAAACTGTAAGAGGTGACACAGATATTTCACTGGATTCTGAATCTAGGCCATCTCCACTCTTCACCCTGTGATCCACAGCCAAAATTACTGTACGGATTTTGAGAAAATTGATAGTAAAATCTTCCCATTTTGCTTTACTGTACTCTACATATTGACATCTTTGAGCTCAGATTACAGGAAAACTGTAAGAGGTGACGCAGATATTTCACTGGATTCTGACTCTAGGCTGTCGCCACTCTTCACCCTGTGATCCACAGCCAAAATTACTGTACGGTTTTTGAGAAAATTGATAGTAAACTTTGCACAATTTACTCTACTGTACTCTATATATTCTCATCTTTGAGCTCAGATTACAGGAAAACTGTAAGAGGTGACGCAGATATCTCACTGGATTATGACTCTGGGTGACCCCCACTCTGCACCCTGTGATCCACAGCCAAAATTACTGTACGGATTTCTGATAAAATTAAATCCTATTCCATTACCAAACAAAATGAGTTCATTGAAGTATTTGCTTAACTACAAGAAATGTCTTTCCACACACAATTTAAATTTTTCAAAATGTCATTCACACACCACCTCAAGTATCAACTTCAGTTTTAGACATTATTTATTCAGTGCTTAATCACAACAATAGTCAACTTAAGGCACTTACATAATAAGTTAAACCTTACAATAATACATACAGAGAAAAACCCAACAATCATATGACCCCCTATGAGCAACAGTGGGAAGGAAAAACTCCCTTTTAACAGGAAGAAACCTCCGGCAGAACCAGGCTCAGGGAGGGGCGGCCATCTGCCTCAACCGGTCAGGGTGAGAAATTACATTTCTCAGATTACTGATTTCTCATATTACTACTACACAGTTTAGCTACACTCAACAAAAATATAAACGCAACACCTTTGTTACTGCTCCCATTCCCCATGGGATGGACGTAGAGACCTAAAATTCATTCCAGATACACAATATAACCATCCCTCCCAAACAGTGGTCACAAATCAGTCCAAATGTGTGGTAGTGGGCACATCTGCTATATTGAGATAATCCATCCCACCTCTTTT